TGGAAAGATGGTTCTCTTGGACCAACTTTTGACAAAACTGAAAGCCGATAACCACAGAGTCCTCATCTTTAGCCAGATGGTTCACATGTTGGATATCATTGCAGATTATCTTAATTACAAGAACTATGGCTTTCAACGCTTGGACGGAACTATCGCTCCCGGCCCACGTCGCACTGCCATCGATCATTTCAATGCTCCGGACAGCAAGGACTTTTGTTTCCTTCTCAGCACACGTGCCGGAGGATTGGGCATCAACCTTATGACTGCAGACACCGTCATTCTGTTTGACAGTGATTGGAACCCGCAGGCTGATCTTCAAGCTATGGCCCGTGCCCACCGAATTGGCCAAAAAAACCATGTCATGGTCTACCGCTTTGTTTCGAAAGACACCATCGAAGAAGAAATTCTCCAGCGTGCTAGGAACAAAATGATCCTGGAACACTGTGTTATCTCTCTCGGCGTGACGGACAAAGAAATCACCGACAAAGTCAGCAAGACCACGAATCATTTAGATTCAACAAATCTGTCGAACATGTTGAAAGCCCGAGCATCCAAGATGTTCGAAGCCAACGACAACCAAAAGAAGTTGGAGGAACTCAAGATAGAGGATATTCTGAGTCTTGCAGAGGATCACGTAACGGAGAACGACCTTGAGGAGCGTTTCAGTGGCGAGGGTGGCGAAGAGTTCATGAGACAATTTCAGGTTGCGGATTACAAACTCGATGTAACTCCTTGGACTAAGATCATCCCAGCTCATGAGTTGGAGAAGATTAAGGAGGATGAGGTAAATAGAAAAGTCAGTTCATTATTCCATGTTTCTCGTCATCCCACCAACTAATTCTTCGCAGGAGGAGGAGTCCCTCAATCAGCTCATCGAACAGAACTCAGGACGGAAACGGAAACCCGTTTCTGACACTGACCGTGAAGGACGTACGGCCAAGAGGCGTGCCACGAAGGAGCTTTCTGCCAGGATTAGTTCGGATTCCGAGGGATCCGAATTTGATCCCAAGCAGCCTTTAGACACTCGGGAGATTCGGAACCTGTACCGTGCGTTCACGCGCTACGGTCTTCTAGACGACTGCTGGAATGAAATTCTCAAGGATGCGGCTTTGGAAGGCAGAGATCCCGACATCATCAAGGCAACGATTCAAGATTGGATGCATCTGAGCGAAGAAGCTATCCAAGTTCACAGGTCGACCAAGGAGGATTCCGGGAAAAAGGAAAAGAAAGCGATTTTGTTCGACTACAAGGGTGCGAAGAAGCTCAATGCTGAGACCATCTTGAACAGACCTCAGGAGCTGAGGGTCCTCAAGAGAGCAGTTGAAGCTTGGGAAGACCGAACAAAATTCCGCATTCATGATGTGAAGTCAGTTCACAACTGGTCTTGCGAATGGGGAACCCGGGAAGATTCCATGCTCTGCGTTGGAATTGTTAAGCACGGCTACGGTGCTTGGGCCGCCATCCGTGACGACCCAGAGTTGGTGATGCATAACAAGTTCTTCTTGGAGGAGCACCGCGTTGACAAGAAAGAGGAGAGGGGAAAAGCCGACTCGCAGGCCAAGTCACCTGGCGCCGTCCACTTGGTCCGTAGAGCAGACTATCTGCTAGGTGTGTTGAAAGAGCGTGTCGAAGCGGGAATGAACCAGTCGTTGCGCAGGTCTCCTCCCAATCACAAACTCAAACGCAATGGTACCGCGTCCGCCTCTGCGTCCAGTGCCAAGCGCTTTAAAGTCAAAGCGAAAGAAGATCACCGCCGACCCGTCGAAAAGGTCAAGGACCGATCCCGCGAGAAGGTTAAGGACCATTCACATGAGAAGATCAAGGATCGTTCTCGCGAGAAGGTCAAGGCCAAGGCCCGATCGTATGAAAAAGAGCAGGATGGAGTACGCGGCAAAGTTACAAAGAAACGTCGTCGCGAGCACGAAGAGGACGATCGCTCGGTTCGACGCCGACCTTCTTCTGACGCCGAGACCAAGCGCCTCGAGGTCCGTAAGGTGAATGGCACTTCTCAGCCGGTGACCAACTCTTCAAAAACCACCGATCCCTCAAGATCGCGGGCCCTCACCCAGATTGAGGAGCATGCCTTGGTTTGTGCCCTGTGTACCTCGTTATCCTCTACAACTACTAACTACTTATCAGGGCCAGCTTAGAAAGAACTTCACGTCTAGCATCCTAAATGGATCGAATGAGGCCAGAAAATTGAAAGATAGGAATCTGAAGGTTCTGGGCATCAAGGAAAATGTCCAAACCGTTGGAGGTTGGATCTGCCGGAGTGCTGCCAAGGGTACTGATGAGTACCAGGCTTTGTGGTAAGACTGAGAACGCTGCCGCCGTCGCGTGATACCATACTGATCTTCGCAGGTACGTGTTTTGGAGATTCTACTGGGTCAACCACAAGGGCGAATGGCCTACTTTAGAGGCCATGCACACCAAAATACTCGCAGACGATGAGAGCCGAGAAGCCAAGTCGAAAGTTAATAGCGAGCAGAACTAATACCCGCAACGGGTATATAGTAGATTAGCTACGGCCATCCTCTAATCACCAACGCTGAAAGTAGCGCTATATAATTTGAGGCCTAGGTTTATTCGTGGGATGTGAATCGGGTATCGAGTTATCTGAACTGCCCACGTCTAATCCTAGCTTTCATGAGGGAGGATCGTCGTTGTCTTTTTCCGTTTGTTCTTTCATTTGTCGTTTCTGCTTGTATTTTTTCTTTTCATAGGTTTTTTCCCGCCGTTTTTTTCCTATGATGGCTTGTTTTGCACTCCGGCGAGAGGGGGTTTTTTAATTAACGGCGTTGATCTTTCAATAGTTTCTTCTTTTTGTTTTCTGTTCTTTTTTCTTGTTTGGCGGGCGCGGGTGTTTTCGCTTTTTGCCTTGCTTTGCGTTTATTAAATTTAGGGGTGCAGGGTTGAGATGTGTACAGAGTAGGAGGCGTGGGCGTGCTGATTTTCCTTTATTTTTGTGGGAGTGGGTGTTTCATTTCATTTTGGGGGGCGGCCTTTGGATTTTGGCCTTTGCTATGCTGATGCTTGTATTATACGACTGATGGGGGGATACATAGTGGGGCGAGCGCGGATATCACTACAGATGTTGTGTGGATGTGGATGTAAACGGAGCAACTAGAGTAATGCTACTCTTTCGGGAGATCACAGTCTGCTGTTGCTACCCGCGAAGTAATTGGTCATCATCACTATCGCCAACTTCTACTGACGCTTCTTGCTGGGGCGAAACGGCACGATTTTTCACCTACCAAGCTACTGTACTAGTACATAGCAAGTATCTGCGGTACTGAAGTATATCTACCTGTACGAAGACAGCAAGCCATGTACGAAGGATAGGTACCTGCTTAGGCGTGTGACTGCTTAAAGCCTGCTTTTGTCGGTGAAAATACATGACGTTATTTACAAAAAGCATGCGGAAAGGGCTTTGGTCTTTTGGTCAGACAGCGGTGGGCAGGACTGGCTTATTGGAAGGTAGAGATTTTTGAGAACCGGTGCAGAAATCCATAGGTATTCAAGGCAGGTATATCGACACGGGTGGAAATGTACTGCCAGTGACCGTCACAGCGATAGAAGGAGGTCCAACATTCAAGACCCCATTTACTAAGCTCAGATAGATACTCTAGGAAGGTGGGTTTTTACTGGTCTTTCTCGAACTCATATGAGCAAAAGATTTATTCAAAATACACCTGAACTGGTCGTGTATGGTTGGGGACTCCTAGTCACTGTGGGATCTCTGACATTCATTTCGCATACAAAAGTGCCGAGTGATGAGCGTGAATCTTCCTTTTTTGACCATATAACTGACATTTGTCCCCGGGAGGGTCCTGTTTTCTCAACAACCAGGCAGAATTTGGAAATTCTGAGTTAATTAGTCGATAGAGCGAGCGAAAACTAGGCCCCTGATAGTGTTATTTTTTAAAATAACTTTTTTTTGGTGGAGGATGCTCTGTCCAAAGTCAGGGTACCCAAACCCCTCCGTCTTTAGGTGTCCCCAACCATAATCAATTCTATTGTCGATTTAGACCCTCCGCCCATCCCCGCCCGCCGCCTTATCAGGCGTCAACCATACCGGTGTAAAAAGGAAGATTATGGAGGATAAGAAAGTACAAAGGAAAAGACAAAGGCCCGAAGGAGGTTGCGACAGGACGCCTCGATAGGTCCTCGCAAACCCATATCACGTCATTGGCCCACGTCGGCCGAAACGTCACGATTGCCCGGACACGAGATCGAAACCGAGTAGTGCAAGTCAAAGAGCTACTACAAACGGAAAAAGAAGGTCAACGGCAGGGCAGCCAAGGCTCCAAAGGCCCTGGCGGCGCGATATTACCAGTTAAGACTCAACAAAGCACCAACGGCCCCCTACCTGCTCTGGACCAACAGAAGCACGGACGACAAATACTGGTTCTGCGCCAAGGCGCCGAAGCAGACGTGAGAGCACCTCTTCAAGAGGTGAGCCAGGCGGCGCCGGAAACAAGATAAGATGTGGGATACGATCAGGACAGTCACGGAACAAAAAGACAAGAAGGGCGTGGGTGGAAGAGGACGGCCACCCCCATAAACGATTCTAGCGGACGACCACTGCACGGCGGCGAGATTGGATTTCCTTGCGTTTACCAAGGTTGGCAGAGGCCGGAGAAGCCATAGAATGTAGTGACCGAGAATGTGCCCTCTTCTTATGTCTAAGCTATACGAATCCCCTTGGTCCTCTCTTATGTATCTCTCATGTATTTCCTTAAGACACGCCCGTCTGTGGGGACATGAGGCCCAAGGGTAGTCTGTCAAGTTACTTATGTCATGGCCGCAAGCGGCCGAATACATTATGATTAAAACCAAAAAAAAAAAAGACAAAGGACCGAAATACAAAAGCTGCCATGGCCGTTAGGAACCTGGTAGATATATATCGAGCATTTCTTTCTATTGACGCACTCACAAACATCTGCACAGTGCACACGGAGACGGAAAAAATAAGTATCAATATTGAAATGAGAGCATCTCTTCCGGGTGGGCTTGAACCACCAACCTCCTGATTGCAGGATCGAAGCCAACTAACAGTCAGACGCGCTAGGCAATTGCACCACGAGGAATTGATATTGAAATGGTTCGCAGTGAATTAATATGAGCGTGATAGGAAGGTTACCGCATAAACTCGCGAACAAGAGACTGAGGCTAAGTCACTGCGCCATGTGGCAAAGTCACTAAGCCTACATGGCGCAGTGACTTAGCCCAGTCTCTTGTTCGCGAGTTTATGCAGTATCTCGCTAGACTTGTTTAACCGGTCGAGTGACTTCAGATGAATGCGCCATATCGAATAACTGCGCCACAGCAGCCACAACTCAGCCGACAAAGCAATTTCAGTTTCGGGAGCCCGAGGTATTGCAAATTTTGAAGCCTCGGGCCATGGAAATTTTTTATGTGAGGGCTCAAGCTTGAGCTGCTTCCCAGTCCACCAGAGAGATTTTAAAGACACTGACGAGTCCAGGACCCGGATTTCATGAATTCATTCCTGCCACTCGCTTCGCCTTCATGCACCAGAGAATTAATATAATGACACCAGAATTGGACCCGCCGGTCACCGCCCACCGCCCCGCAAGCACCGCGACAAGACTGGTCCAAACTCCGCGCCCTCCCTGGGTGGCTCACCGTTCCAAACAGCGATCGCGGGGAAGTTGGGATGGAACCCGCGCACAATCGACTCGGCCCATGAGTCCCTCACAAACCGCCAGACGAGCAATTGCCATAGTGTCCGCTGCTGTTGGAATACCAGCTTGCCTGCTTTTAGCTGACGTAACATGCGTATATTGTGGTTGTCGTCTGGGTGACCCTCCGTTAGAACAGCTTTTTTGGCCATGTACCTGGCGGCGTGTCCGTAGGTGGCAGAAGGAGAAGATCCGATGTCGTCCTCATCGCCGCCTCCCGCCTTGTAGGTGTTCTCAACGCCGATGCCTATACAGGTGAAGGGATCTTCCGGCCGCAAGGTCATTATCCCTCCCACTCGGAGTATAGCCGATAGCTCCTCATTACCTCCCAGGACCGCTGAAGCCGACAACGTGCTATCTCCCTTTCCAATAGAGCTGGGTGGGAAACCCGTAGGTTAACAACCTCCGACGGGGTTGACAACTGCGCTACAGCAAAAATCGGTTGGCAACCGTACGGTCATGTGCTTTCAGTAATACACACGAGGCCCGGAAGCCTGTTTTTTGCTGGGATGCAGGCGAGCTCTGCTAAAGGAGCCACCGGCATTCTGCTACAGTTTGTAAGTACCATTCAAAAGAATAGCAGTCGTACCTTCTGTATATATATTTTTTTTGTATAGGGAAGCCGCCAGGAGTGTCTCCTAGGGAAGTGGCTGAGGAGTTCTGCTGAGGGAGTGGGTGTCGAGTTCTGCTGGGGAAGCTGTCGAAGGAGAGAAATTGTGCAGGTGAGCAGAAACATTCACCGGCCGGCACTCGTAGGTGCAAATGAGCTTTATCTTCACTGCCGAGCACTCGGACCATTTCCACTAGCTTTAAATTTCTTGTTATACTCGTCGGTGGTGGCGGAAGCTCGCGTGGAGGTTGCCAACCGTTCTTGGCAGTTTCCCACCCAGCTCTACTTTCCAACAAGAAACTGGGGTACCTTGGCGATTTTGTGGTTGTTGAACCGATGTGCGATCCGCTGACAGACAGAAAGCCTCGAAGTGGCTGAAAGGCCCGGTAACCAATTGGGCATTCTTGCCGATATCGCTGATGGAGATAGCTCTCTGTAGCTTGTTTCCTGCTTTTCTCGAGTGCAGTGGCTCTTATTTTTGGGCGAGCCCCCCGAGTGTTCCTGAACCAAATTCGACAACTCATCAACCACAGCATCGGGAAAGTACTCGCCGCCGATAAAATCGAAATTACTAGACAGGGCGAAAGACATTGAAGGCGAATCGGAAGTTGTCGCTGCGAGAACACTAGAGTCCACGTTGCGCCTGCCAGAGGGAAGCACCCACAATCCACAGAAGCACTACGTGACAGCTATCGTAATCTGTACCCCGGCAGTGGCACATGAGAGGCAGGCTTCGACCTGGGAGCGGGTGACTCTGAAGCGTTTGCGTGTGTCCTTGTTACGCCCTATATATACATCTCCCTGTGTGCCCCGCCATGTGCAACAATGATTATGATGATGCGCTCTCCGGCCAATGCGTTGGACGAAACAACCCCCACCGCCTTCAGGAACTCCTCAGCGAGATCGCTCTCCGGATACTGCGTATAGAAGACTTCTGAGTTTTGGTCGAACACGACCTTCCGCGGTTGCCTGCTAGGGGGGGCCATGTACGAGTGGTCCATGCACTGCGACGAACTTCTTCAGATCAACGCACGTCAGATGGGTTTCTGTTTTAGCTCTTCCTCCTAGAGCTGTCCGTAAAAGGTAAAATTCCGATGCGAACAAGTCATCTTGGTAGGCATCGATGGATCCGAAAACGGATATTAAGTGCGTCCGATCATCCGGTTTGAAGATCTCGCCAGCACCGTATCTCATTCTCAACAGTAAGATTTCTCCGCTCTCAACCAGCAGGTGGGGTAAACGCATCGCAGTGGGCATGCTTTCAAGCACGAGTAGCAGCCCATCCGGGTCATTATGACCGATGTCGAGAAAGTAAAAGTGCATCCGACGATAACTTCCGGACTCTCAGCATCAGCAAAAGAGGTTCAACTTTCGGGAGAGACAGCTCACCTTCAATGACGCATCCAAAGCCAGCTTTATCCCTGCTCGACGACGGCGACCGCTGAAACTGGAAGCTAAACCCATCTGCAGTGCGCATTGCCACTGCAGCATGAAGGATCAGCCTGAGCACAAAGGCTGTGCGGGAGACAGTACATACGACTAATCGATGGATGGACCTGGCTCGAAAGTATAGCCGTCAGGTCCTGTTCAAGCAGGTCGCGATCGAAAGACCTGGAGAAAGTTGTTTTGGGTAGAGAGCGGTGCGGTGGGGGTGAGTTGTGGTAGGGGGCGGGGAGGGAGGTAAGTTAGGGTAGTTAACTTTAATTACAGACGGTGCAGCCAGGTTTTTGATAGGTAACTATGTACAATCCCCGAGGTTCTGCCTTCAACCTCACTCTCGTTCCGTGTTTGTGGGTGCAGCGGCGTTGTTATCGATATATATCGCGTCCACGGGATTGACTCTGTTGATTGCATGTTCTGCGCAAGCTTCATTTTCCCCGCTGCGTTTCTCCCGCTCTCTCAAATCTTTCTCTCATCGCCATCATCGTAATGATCATTATTATTCCTGTCATCTAATTCAACTCCAATTCCTGCAAATCCTGCAATCCCTCCGATTATCTCTTGCCAAAACTGCACGAACTATGTCTGGCGGCAATGCGCCGGGACCGGCTGCGCACGTTGGCGAGCAGGGGAAACAGAAAACCTATCACAAAAAAGCCACCGGCCAGGCCCTTCAGACTGTCAAGAGACACTCCAAAGAAAATGAACTGAAGCTATTTGGAAGCTGCTTCTGGTGAGCTCAGACCTCCCTCTAGATCTTCAAGCTCTTTCGCCGAGCGGGACGATCACTCTGCACGTAAGAATCAAGAATGCTAAAATTGAACCTTGCAGTCCCTTCGTTCAAAGGGTGTGGATTGCGCTGGAACTGAAAGGCCTGGATTACCAGTATATAGAGGTCCTCTCCATCCTCATCCCCAAATATGGGTCCGAGTTTTCCCACTCATTCTGGCCATAGGTGGATCCTTATGCTAAACTCAAGCTGCTGACCGATATAAACCCACGAGGCCTCGTGCCGGCATTGAAACATGGCGAGTGAGTCACCGTATTCCGCTCTTTCCTGAGCCTTATTGACGAAGAAAGTTGGGGATGTTATGAGAGCAATGTGCTGCTAGAGTATCTAGACGATCTCGACATTGGAATGCGCCTTCTTCCAAGTCATCCGCGGGATCGAGCCATGTCCCGTCTGTGGGTTGATCATGTATGCCTATTGTTTGTATCCTATTGGTCCTGAAGTCAGTGAAGTAACGTGCTTTAAGGTCAATCGAAACATCGTCCCAGGCTTCTATCGCTTCTTGCAGGAGCAAAACCCAGCAAAGCAGATCGAGTACGCAGAGGAACTCAAAGAGCAAGTACGTCAATTCCCAGTTCCGCAAAAATGTTCAGTGACGTCGACGTGACGATATTGTGGTCGACTTGGCGCCAACATCATGGTACCGTTAACCGTTATCCTCGACTGGTTCCATTGCAAGATTCACAGCCAATGATTCGATTTAACGTTCAAACGTCACAAACGTCATAGACGCCGCTGATTGCAGCTCAATTAGGTATCCAAGCTAGTCGATGCAAGTCATGAAGTTGGACCCTTCTTTCTCGTATGCCGCCGGCGCGCCCTCCTCCCGCTCCTGCATCAATAAGTGCCTTTGCAATTACATGTGGCTGATAAGGAGGCATTCAAACAGGGACATATCATGAGCTACGTCGACATCTCTGTCGCGCCTTGGTTGTTGCGATTCTCGCGAGTCCTCCACCCCTACCGCGGATGGCCTTTGCCGGACAAAAATAGCAAGCTCGGAAAGTGGATTGAAGCCCTCGAATCGCACGATGCGATCAAGAATACAACTAGTGATAATATCCTCTATCTCGATAGCTACGAACGCTATGCTGGTGCGTGATACGCGGCACATACATATCGCAAGAAGGGATATCTGATCGTTTTGTGCGCAGAGAATCGGCTCAACACTAGTCAAGTTGCCAACGCTGTCAACGCCGGGCGTGGTTTGCCTTGAGCAGTGATGCTGCCATTGCAACGGCTAGGATGGCGCATGAGATGTGAAGTACGATCGGGAGGAATGGAGGGAGTTGGATTGATGAGAAGGCTGTCACACTGCTTGACTACTGGTACAACGCGCATACACATACTTCAGTCCAATAATGGGTCTCATTATACTAGCCTTCAATGACTAGATGCTATCGCGAACGAACCTGCTATATGTGATCTTCAACGTCATATGTTGATGGGATGAGTGGTTCTTTTTTCTGGGGCATTGTTTTTTTGCCTTTTTGACAGGGAACACCGAGTGATCGACGACAACGTTACCTTTCGAGCTGTACTATGACG